CTTAGATTCCCTGCAGTCTGGAAATTTAGAGATTATTTCCATCAGGGACACAGGAAAGTACAGATTAACTCAAATCAACCAATCAGCTGCTTGTAATTCCATCATAATCGTTTGTATGTGATCTGTAAATTTACAACGGAGTGACGTCCACTGACCAAACAAGATGTAAGTACGATATATGTTCAGTTACCATAGCTTTAATTCAGCGCATCATGTTTAAACTGTGACTCTGTTTGATAAAACAAATGTCAGTTTTGCTTCAAACACCTACTGATCATCCGTTCATTCATCCGTTCATTCATTCATAGATGCCAGACAGACGGAAGCACTGTGACATTTCAGCAAAAACAGAAAACATCAACCGCTGTCACTTTGAAAGAAATAAAATTAAAAAAAAATATGAAACAGAATTCAAGGGGTTTTTTTCTATCAAGAAAGTCCTAAAAACTCTGGAGGTAAAAGTTGAGACGATCAAACCCAGATGAGAAAGGTTTGTACTTACGGCCACCATGACAAAAAAATCTGCTCAGTTTTCATGTTATAGCAAGATATTTTTCATGTTTATCATTCTTACATTATACTGAATTACTTTTCTTGTTATCAACACAACATCACTATCTCGTTAGATCATGTGAGTCCAAGTGAAACCAGAGCCACCAGAGGGGTTCTGCTCCAAAAGTAAAGAAAAAAAACTCATTCAAAATCTCACTGACATTTGTAACTAGTTTAACGGAGATGTTTTTTTTTCTGTGCTCAGAAAGCAAACATTTTTGTAATAGTGGCAGTAATACACTGTGGCACTTACTCACTGAGGCATTGTGATATCTTGGGACATCAAAGGCAGCTGGAAGCAACAGATGTGTCTCATTTCAGGCTTCACCTCGTCTGAAGTCCAAGTTTACAGATCAAATCCATGATAATGGGTCAACAAGGTAGCATCCTGATACAAAGGCTGATTTGACCTGAATATAGAGCAGACATCTGGTTTTTGTCCTTTGGTCTTCAGTGTCACTTCTCGGATCTGGTCCATTAAAGGACGCACCCTCTCAGGTCCTGCCCCTCCAAGAGTAGAAGCCTGAAATGGGGCAGAAGCGGCTTGTACGGTGGCATTGCCACAGGATCAATAACTTTAAATACATTAAGATAAATAAAATGTAGTTCAAATGAACTTCGAAATAAAAGTCCAGTGGATTGTAGTTTCAGTGTCTTGCCGTTAGACGTGTGCTTTTCATTTTAAATAAATAAATAAATAATATTATTGTCATCAACCTTAAATCATCACTGATCAGTCTGTGCAAGGCCGTATCCATAGCAACATTACCACATGACCCGAGCCACATAAAGATCTAGTCTGGTCTAGAATCTTCACTGAAAGGTCATCTGTAACATTTCCATGGTAACAGAAAACATAAGTTGCTGTGACAACTCAGCTGATAACAGTGGCTGGACTGTGATGATGTGAACCAGATGCTTGACCTGGTCCATCCAAGATCAGAGGTTCAGCTTCTGCTGCTCAGTACTGATTCAGTTTGGTTCTGGTTTGGTTCTCCTGGCTTTGTTGTGGTTTGAATCTGTGCTGGTCCAGGGTCTAGTTGGGTCCTGTCCTGGTCCAGGTTCACGTCAGTCTGAGAGCAGCTGGACGAAGGAAGACGGAAACAAACCTCTCTGGTCTGGTTCGTCCTCTACGTAACCGTGCTGCACACAAACACAGAGACACACGTTTACATTTCAGTATTTAAAGGAAATTTAAAGCAACGGTTAGTGCCAGAGAACTACAGGGGACAACTTTGCAACATGGAGGCCATTTATATCTGAGCTCTGGTGACCTTGGGAGGTTATCGACCTCACCATTGCATTTTTCCAGTTGCTGCACTAATAGTATAGTAAGGGAAAAAAAAGTAATTGTATAGTGAGACATAAAAAAGTCATTGTATAGTAAGACATGTTTTCATGTTCTCTGGGGTAAACTTAAAGACAGCACTTTGAAAACCCCTGATTTAAAGAAATGTGAACATTGATTCCAACCTTTTGCCACCTGATCTTCATTCAGCATTAGTTTTAGTCTCGACAAATAATGTACGTTGGTTTTACGTTGTCACATTTTGGTCATTTTATTGCCTGTGACAGCGACAGCTATGGCCGAAGGCGTTATGTTTTCTGGTTATCCGTCCATCTGTCTGTCCCATCCTCATGAACATGATCTCTGGCGACCTTTGGTACAAACGTTCACTTCGACTCAAGGATGAACTGATCAGAATTTGGTGGTCAAAAGTCAAACGTCACTTCATAAAACACGTTTTCTGCCACAACTCAAGAAGTTAGGAGCTACAGTGTGTGGTTTTGCAGACTGATGAAAGTTGCTGCATAAGACTTTACTAATTCAGTTATTTGTCCATTATTCATTCCTCGATTCATTTTGTGATTCATTAATTTATAGATTTTGTTCTGAAAGGCTACTTTTCATCATGAAAAAAGTTTTAAAAAATTGATTATTTGTCACAGTTTTCATCAATGAAATGAACCCTGCTGCCAACTGAGCTTTAAACAGTCAGAGTCAGATTAACATTAACTCAGAGGACAGCTAAGGCCACCTTACTCAATTTTCTCCATCCATAGGAGTAGGACGACGATACGTACCCACCAATCACAGTCCTCCTGTCCCAGGACCACCAGCACCTGTCCCTCACAGAAGCTCAGCTCATCGTGGTGGTCGGCCTGGCAGTCATACAGCGCCTGAACCCGCCGACTCGTTGTGCCTCGAGGCTGATGGACCAGTAGAAAATAATTCGGAAAATATTCATACTAATAGTAATAATATTGCATACTTATAATTATCAGAAATTACAATTAGTGACAAAGCAAATGTAACTAGTGGCTCTGGATTATGTGATGCAGACAATGAAGTGATGATTGGTCAGATTGGAAAACGGTTTGAACTTTTGATGCAAAGATAAGCGGAAATATCTTGTGAGTTAACGTTAAAACTAAAACCCTTCAAGTAACAGGTGTTTTTGAGGAACTGACCAATGATCTGCGAGGAAGTGGCTGGGGGGCAGGGCCTCTGCTGTCGCTCTCAAAGCTCTGAGAGCGATGATTTGTGGGAGACCCGTTGGGCGGAGCTTTACTGGCAGGCTGCAGGAAGTGGGAGGAGCTACCGTCACTGTCCGCCCTCCGAAAACCTCAGAGAGATGAATACATTCATGTTATTTTAATGAACATGTAATTCAAAGAAAAACAGAGAAATATTTAAAGCTGGATTAACTGACAATGTCCAGTTTTGTTTTTTGCCATTTCTTGTTTGCTACTGTTTTTTTTTGTCTGGCCAAAACTAAAAGATGATCCATTTACTATAATGTAAGACCAGGAAAAGAAGTAAATTCTCACATCAGAGAAACTTGAATCACTAAATTTTCACAACTGTTAACTTTCTCTTGATGATCTCATCACTGCAGCCCTAAAGTAAATCATAAAAAAGACAAGCAAATATAATAAAAACATAAAAGTATAAATGACCCCTGGTTAAGGACACTGGGCCTGCACTGTGAGCTAACATTCATCACAGCTGTTGGATTCAACAGACTCCAGACAGAAAAAACCGACGTGGATCTGAGAGGAAGAAGCTGGATCGTACCTCTGTCTGGTCGTTCAGTCAGCGAGCTGAGAGGAGAAGCTGGACTGGAGAGACATAGACACAGAGGGAGGGGACGGGTTTATCATCTGTGGTGTTTCCATTAAACATCAACCTCAAGACTCAGACCTGTAATTCAGCTTCAGTCCACCAGGAGACAGTACAGTCTCTCAGTCCATGTAAAGAGGACACGACTATAAATTTACCCTTAGGCTATATTATCCTCACTTCATTCAAATCTAGTGGGAGAACATTTTGTGTTTGTTGTTGCAGATCTTCACTGAAGCTCTATGATGTTTCCACTGAGTGAAAAATTCAAACCCAAATTTTTGTTTGTAGTTTTATGACCCAACCTTTCCATCAAATGGAAATATTCTACATCTGCTACATCATTTTAGTCAATTTGGGATCTCACTAGAATTTAAAATAAAGTAAATTGAGTTCAAATAAAATTTAGACAAACGTAGGTGCGTTAAGATGAAGCCACTATAGATTTATTAATTCAAGAGGTTTTACAATGTGACAATTTCTTTTAGGAGAAATTTAATTTAATTAATTAATTGATTTTTTAAACCTCATGTTCTTTCTCCACGGGCAACTTGCGTGTTTGTTCAACTCTGAACAGATAAACCCTCTACAGGAGGGTTTCCAACCACCAAATCTTGAAATATCACAAAAAAAACTCAGGTGAGCCTGAAGTGGAAACGTTGATGCGACAAAGTGCAATGGGGACAGACTTGGCGGATAAATCATGACGTACATGCAGCATGTGACCTAAACAACCACTAAAGCTTCCGCTCCCCTGAAAAGACTGAAAGTAGCGACAGAAGAAAACGTGCGATCTGAGTGGACTGTTACTTTTCTTAAATTACTACATGAAACAAAGATAAAAGCCGTATTTCCATCATGTTTACTGCATAGTTTTCCACTGATGGAGGTTTGACTGGTGCTCTTTTAATTACATCATCTAGTTGCGCCCTCTTGTTCTGCAGTGGTTTTAATGGCACGCGACAGGAGTGGATGGACAGCAATGGATGGAAAACATGCATGTATTTGCATTTTATTTTGCAGGATTTCATGGAAGTTTGGTTAAAATTAATGCTACATGTGCATGGAAACCCACGTTATGTCACAGGTTTCTTATTGACGCACACAGCTGCTGTGGCGTCCATAGCCTGTTTCATAGCCTGCCTCTTTTATTAGTGTGTTCTCTGATTACTTTCACTAAAGCTACTGAGGAAGGGGCACGTTTTTTTTTTTTTTTTTTTAGAATATGTAGTTTGTTGTGTATAAAACATGTAAAGTCCTGCCTGTTGGTACCTGAGCCGTCATGACATCATTCCACTACTGATCCAATCAGAGCCCTTTCTCTCTTGCATGTGTTTATTGTGAGTTTCAGTGTGTTTTTGTCTCAGATACTCACACACACTTCTTAAAGGAGGAGTCTGGACCACTGTAGATCCTGGGACTGGTTGGCAACCCGTAATCTGCAGAAGCAGAAACACGCAGAAACACACACCCACACACACACACACACACACACACACACACACACACACACACTTAATTACACAGCATCATTCAGACAGATTAATTGCAGTGTGTCTCTCAGATGTTACCATGCTTGCTGGACTCAGAACAGCTCCTCTTGTGGCGGACGGCGATGGGAGGGGGAGGGGTTGACTTTCTGTTTCCTGTAAGGGGGAAGAAGACCTCTCCCTCTTCCTCCTCCTCCCCACCCACTCCCTCTCCCCCAGCAGGAGGGGGAGGAGGAGGAACACTGGGAGCTGGAGGACGACAGAGAGCAGAGATGGAAGACTAATTTTTGCTTTCAAAGAGAGGTCTCCATATTTAAGTAAGAAGCCTCCATGTTTATGATCTGCTCTCGTTTTCATTTGCTGTCGCTCCAAACTTCAGATCTTTCTCCGTGTTTACCGGTTGTCGTGATAAATACAGTGTAACGTACATTTCCACAGCACCAATTCAATCAATACAACGGTCAAGTCATATTCCTGCAGATACTCTGAACTCACCTTTGACCCTTGGGGGCAGCGGGGGCGCAGGAGAGGACGGGGGAGGTGGTGGGGGGCTTGGAGCAGAACCAGTGGGCCGGCTGTGGAGCTCCATGGCCATGGCGAGCCTCCTCCCCACACTGAGCAGACCTCCTCCTGCTGCTGCAGAGGAAGGCGGGGTGACGGAGGAGGACATGGACTGGCTGAAGCTGAAGGGACGGGAGGTGAAGGAGAAGGAGGAGGTGAAGGAGGAGGATGAGGAGGAGGAAGTGCGCTCCTTCTTCACTGGACCATTCTGAAACAGGAGAAATGATGGAAGGTATTAAAGTCTTATTTTTGCAATAAATGGTTTAAAGCTAATACATGGTTCAATGCACATAGACACTGTTGAGCCAAAATAAAATATGTTACAACTACATAGAGGTAAATAATAGACACCACATTAGCAACACAATTCTTCCATAACCAGGAATAATCCTCTAGATACTAGAAAGCAAGAAAAACATTCAAATACAAGAACGACAATCCGTAATCTAAAAAATCAAAGTGTCATGAAGCATTTCTTTTCACCTCGTTTTCTGAAACCAAACCTGTGCGCTTCTTTATTGCTTCATCAATTATGCAGTTTAAGACTCTCACAAAGAAAGAATGAGCAGATAAATAAGTAGGCTTTCAGTTGCTATAGTTACCCTGTCATCAAAGTCATCGTCACTGTCATAGAGATCGTCATGACGAAGCCTCCACTCGTACTCCACATGGACGTGATGGTCAAACTGGTTGGACTGTGCCTGCTGCAGCTGCGCACACACACACACATGTATAGTCAGTCGACACAAACAGTCACATGTAAACAAGTGTAACTGTAATCGGAGTGATCAGCTCACCAGCGCCTCGCAGTGACTGTGCTTCAACCTGCGGCTCACGTCCAGAGCGGTCTCTCCTAACTCGTTCTCTGTTCACACACAAACAAAGTGTTAACGTTACTAAGATGTCCTCTGTCAACATAATCATCAACAGGAAGTGTTTGTGTACTTCTGTCTCTGAGGACGGATTTTAAGTAAATGCTCACAAAAAATGTCCTCCCCTTTATGTCTTCCCCTTTTTCGCTATAGCACTGACCACAGAACTGCCCTCACAAGTACAATAACATATGAGACTGTGTGGTTGTATTACTGATGTGTGTGTTGGCTCTGGCTCTCAGCAGCAGTTTGACACAGTCACTCTTGTTGTGCAGACAGCTGTAGTGCAGCGCTGTGTTTCCCGCTGATGTCTGCATGTCAACATTGGAGCTAAAAAAAATAGAATTAAAAAAAAAAAAAAACACAGGTAAACAGAGGTTAATAGACAGGTGTGCACAGTCACACACACTGAGGTTTAATAACTCGTAAACATCGGATCAGACTGACCAGTTCTGAGCCAGGAAGTCCAGGATGTGCAACGACGTTCTGTCAGCCAGTAAGACGGCTAGATGGAGCGCAGTTTCCCCTTTCTCCTGTTGGCATGGAAACATATTTATGAGTGTGTGTTTAACTTGCATGAACCTGTGTGTGTGAGTGTGTGTACCCATGTACCTATATGTGTGTGTGTATATCTGTATGTGCATGTACTGTCCCTGTGTTTGTGTGTATATTATATATATGTATATTGTATGTGTGTATATCTGTCTGTGTGTAACCTGTATGTACATATCTGTGTATATACCTGGACATGTGTATACTTGTGTGTGTCTGTGTATATATCTTTATGTGTGTGTACTTTTAGGTGTGTATCTGTGCACACACTTATACGTGTGTACCTTGTGTGTGTGTGAGTCTACCTTTAAGTGTGTGTCCTAAATACCTGCATATGTGTGTACCTGTTTGTATACTACTCCATGTGCACAGACCTGTATGTGTGTGTGCAGCGGCTGGCTCAGCTCCGTCCTCTGAGCGTACAGCTGGATCAGACTGTAGATGTCGCAGCTCTTGGTCGCCTCCTGCAGGCCGAATCGCAGCGCTACAGTCGAGCTGTGAGTCCGCCTGACAAAATGAACGTCCTGATACTTCGACAGGATGAAGTCTTTACGCTCTGCCCTGCGCACCGCAAACACACAGAATCAGTATTTATCAAAATGAAATATTTTCTTCTAGAATAACATACACCTGTGTGTGTTCCTCTTACATGTGGCTGTGTTGGGAGGGCTTCAGTGACGGACTCAGCAAGTTCGCCTCCAGTATTTCATTAAACCCAGAGTTACCGACATTTCTGGCCAACTGGGAGAAAGAGAGAGACAAAGAAAGAGTTTTCTCGCAACCAAGATCAAGACTGTAGACATAAAAGTGTAAGGTAATAAGTAAACTACAACTCCCAGGGTGCATTTCAGTAAGAAACAATCAGAGCTTCAAATTCTTTTGCATGCACAGCTTACTCAGGTATAAAACTGACTTTACAATTTGCAGCTCAGCTCACTTTCAGATTTTTTATTTTTGTTTTGTTTTGTTCACAACTGCAAAGACAAAGCATCAGCTGAGCCGCCCTCCAACAAACTGACGTGAAAATAGAAAACACTGAACTCGTGTCCGGTCAAATAAACCTACAGCTCGCTGCAGGACTGCTGATTCTTTAGCTTGTTACCTACCAGCAGGTCTGAGGTCCCCAGACTGTCCAGACTCAGAGACTGGATCCTGGAGACGTGGACCCCCATCTCTCTGTGGATGCCTGAACACTCGATACAGGTCAGGACACCCAGGTTGGTCGAGAGCCATCCAGGATCTACAGAGAGAAAGAGCGAGAGAGAGAGAGAGAGTTAAAATTATCAAGAACCAACTAGGCTACTGTTTATTAAGTTAAAGGCTCTAAACACAGAGACTTGCTAGAGTTGCGTGTTCACTGTTCCTGTATAAATAAATAAATGACACTGAATTTACCTTGTGAGATGCTGCAGTACAGGTAATTCCACCCTCCTTCATTTTCTTTTGGTTCACTAATAAATTAATCAATCCTGTTATCATTTCAACTTATGATCTATATGACTCATAATTGTTTTTAAATGATTTGTTTGTCTCATGTTTGTCGGATGTCTAACTGTAAATGTTTTTTGTTCTCAGTGTGAAGGAGTTTTTCTCACGTCTACAGTTCATCTTATTTTGTATCTTACTAACAACAGTTCATTACAACCTTCACATTTTTAGACATTGGCTCACTGTTTGGCTTCGACCATGACTGCTGGTGACTGATGGTGTCTGGTCGAGCCGCCTTTATCCTCCACAGCTATGGTAACCGAAGTTTTATAGATAAGAATATAGGGAGAAGCATAACTGAGAGGAGAAACCCAGCTCCAGACAAGTACGTGTGACGAAGGACAACAGGCGAGACACTAACAATAGTTAGATAAGGATGTGTCACATCTGGGTTAAATATGTCCTGCTGGACTAAGACATCCTAAGAAATTTCTGCTGCAGCTGGAACGTGAATGTTTTGCTGAAGTAGGATGGAGATTAAGTGGGAAAAGATGCATGAATTCATTCATTCATTCATTACCTGGAGCTCCACAGTCACAGCAGCTGTTGTTTCCTGGCATCCGTCTGATGTCATCCGTGATGGCCCGGGTCAGATCCTCCACACTGCTCTCCCCTCCTCCTCCCCCTCTCCTCCCCCCATCCAGAGCCATGCTCAGAGCCTCCTGCTTACTGTTACTGAGCACCGAGATCCAGCTGGACACACACACACACACACACACACACAATAAATACAAACACATGTTAAAGGATAGCTGTGTGAAAAAGAACACGGGAGATGCTGGTCTGCAGCTGCCTGAATCGGTTGGTTGTTTGTGTTGTTGTGTGACTTTGTGGAAGAAATGTTCAGATCCTTCACCAAAGTAAAAGCACCACAAAACAAAACGAACTAACTAACTGACAGAGGCAGCGGTAAAACAGCATCTGCGAGGTAATATTACTGTTTTCGTCAGGGGAGTCTGGTGGGGATATTATGGCTGTGGGTGGTTCAACAAAAAATGATTTTACTCTTTAACACAAAGGTCCGTCTCTATATGAGTCACTTCCGTAATGTTGTCTTACACTTACAATAATAATGTGAACCTGCCAGCTGCAAAAACAAGCACTTTGACGTACTGTGCACGGTTTGGTTACATTGCAGCGGTTTACTGTTCTTACTCAATAGTGGACCGACTGATAGGGACAAAAATCTTTGCTTCAAAAGTCCAAGAGTTATAATTTAATACTGTATTTTCATTTTCATGATAATCAACATAAATACAAGATGACACCAGTATCAGACTAAATCAACAAAGTTTATTTGTTACTCACGCCACACACTCAGCTTCATCTTCAGCCAGGAAGTGGTAGGTCCGATTATCTGGAGGACAAAGTGTTTCTGATATATCACACTACAAGAATGTGCCAGTGTTAAACTGTAGGTCCAGACAGTAACAACAGAGCCTCAGCTAAAGATTTTCGAGCTCAGGTTGCTTGTGTGACCAACTAACATTCATAGCAACTGTGTTCCCGGTACCAGTCAGATATCTTACAATTCTCTTCTTTATTTTTATTTGTTATTATTATTATTATTATTATTATTATCTGGAACGTCCGTCTCTGAGCTCAGTGTAAACGCCTTTTTCAGCATGGGCAAACATATTACACCTCAGGGATTCTAACCAATGTGACACGATTAGTATTGACTCCTGTCAATTAGAAACACTCAAGACAAAGTCCAAATCAAACCAGTGAAAAACTAAACAAATGAACAAAATTGAAATATCTCTCCTGCAGAAAAAAAAAAATCATACATAAGTTACAAGTATATATAAAATATATAAACAATATATAACTATAATATAATAATATCCTGCATGTGTGTGTCTCACTGTAGTTTTATTATTAACTATTTATATTTTCTTTGTTTGTCTGTATACCAGTGTATGTTTATGTGTGTGTGTGTGTGTGTGTGTGTGTGTGTGTGTGTGTGTGTGTGTGTGTGTGTGTGTGTGTGTCTTACGAGAGATGAGGTCAAAGCATTTCTTGTCCTCTACACTGGGTTTGACCTGACAGGTGAGCAGGTTGAGTCTGGTAGGAGGTTTATTGGGCTGAGGGAGAGAAGGGTGTTAATACAGGTCAGCGCAGGTCAGAGTGATTAACAGCTGACTGACAGAAAAAGGTATTAAGTTAATACACATGTAAACATCCGACCCACGTCCCAAAATATTGGGTATCTATCCAGTCCAGGACCCTTATATTTACCTAAATGTTGATTAAATGTGTATGTGACACCTTTCTGAGACACTTTATGTTGGTTTTTCCTTTAAAATGTCACCTGTCTGTACATTGAATGGCTGCTGCTGAATAAATGCAGACCATAAATAGTATAAAAAATTGGTTCGGGGGGCATCACGTAGCACAGTGGGTTACGCAGGCGCCCCATAAATAGAGGCTACAGTCCTCGCTGCAGCTGGCCCCCGGCTCGACTCCTGCTTCGGGAGGCCCTCTCCTGCATGTCATTCCTCTCTCTGCCTCCCCATTTCCTGTCTCTCTACTGTCCTGTCCATTAAAGGCACAAAAAGCCCCCAAAAAAATTTTTTAAAAAATTGGTTCGGATTATAACCTTAATGTGAAAGGTCAGCAGTTACAGCTCATCACACACACACACACACACACGCACACACACAGGTGAGCTTACAGTAGCATGTGCGATGGTCAGATAACAGTTGTGAACTGAACATTTCCTTTTCTGCCACATTTTCCTCAACCTGAAACACAAACAGACTCAGGTTCAGTCATATTACTAACGATGAGTGTTTCATTGTGTGTGTTTGTGCTTCTTTTACCCGTCACTCTTCTTATAGAGGAATCCTGATCTTTCTGTTCCGTACTGTTTGTCTCCCAGCAGCTGATGCATACTGTACACCTGCTTAGGGAGGGAGTCCTACACACACACACACACACACACACACACACTTTAATCACCTGTTGAAGAGTGTGATAACGTCAGTTAGTGTCGGTGTTTGTGTCTCTGACCTGCTCTGTGTGGACGACCGGCCTCAGCTGATCTCTGAGCGCACACAGCTGTTTCTTCTCCTCTTCCTGACGCTGCTTCACCTGCGCACACACACAACAGCAGCTCACCTGAGCAGCTCACCTGAGCCCTGGCTAACATGCCATTATCAGGCTGAAATGATCCTGTTAATTCTCATCCAGGTGACTTTGCTCATCAAATACAGTCAGAAGTTTGACGTTTTCTTGGATTACGTTATCTTGAATAACAGTGTGCTCTTATTTTGAAAACAAGACAACACGTGTAAGAGTGTTGAAACTGTGATCAGCACTCGTGTGATTGGCTGATTGTTGATCATTGGATTGAGGTAGGTGTGTAGAGAAGACATTATCGTTTCCATTATTCATACAATTAGTTTTTTAAAGTTGATACAGTTTGTGATGAACAGGATTAAATAATTTAATCTGCATGGCCACACAGGGTGAATTTGACACATAGACTGAATTAACCATGTAAATGCTGCTTGTGTTGAGGATTAAAGTACAATTAATAAATGTCAGTGTTCAAATGAACTATCCAAACTGCTGCAGTAGATGTGATGTTTTATAATGAGTTTATGTCTCTTTTTTGGGTTGGTTCTTCTCTTTTTTTAAAAACAAATATATAGTAGTACATTGTGTCATTGTGAACATGTTGTTGTGTACAGGCTGTTAGTTGTTGTCGTACCGTGGTCAGGACTCCGTTCAGCTCCTCCATGTACTGCTTCAACCTCTGAGTGGTGGAAACACACTCCTGCAGGAAACTACACACATACACACACACACACACAAGTTTTTAGTGCATGTGGGCTTGTTAGTGTGTGTGTGTGTGTGTGTGTGTGTGTGTGTGTGTGTGTGTGTGTGTGTGTGCTTACTTGTTGTGGCTGTGGTAGTGTTTGATGAGGTTCTGCAGCAGGTCGACTCCTCTCTTCGTCTTAATTTCGTTGACCTTAATGAGATACTGGGGGGGTGGGGGGGGGGGGGGAGACGTGTTGTGTAATATCTGACATCAAACTATATAGTTTGGAAATAATGATAAACAAGTAAAATGTAATTATTTCACACTCTCCTCCTCTCTCAGAAAATATTATCCATGATACAGATTAAAGGAGGAAATAACAGATCACACAGAGAAATCTTTCGCTAATGAAGAAAGAAAGTTGTTTATGCTACTTTTCTTAATCACACCTACAGATCCACCAATTTTAATTCAATGGTGAATCTGAAAAACAAATAAAATCTGAAAATTGGGATTAATACACTTTAATCAATTGAATCTTTTATCTGTCCACTTTGATATAAAACTGCACAGTGATGTCGTGTGTTAGAAGGAGGGATGTTCCCCAGGTAAAGGTGATGAGTAGGAGGAGGCGGGGTCACTGACCTCACACATGCTCAGTTGGAAGGAGCGTCTCTCCTTCTCCAGCTCCTCGGCGATCTCTCCTCCGCTCACCTCGCTCCTCACCATCCCATACTGACGAGCCAACTCCCTCTTCTCCTTTTCCACCTGCTTACTGCAAAACACACATATGGATGTTTTGAACAAACACCCGTTTTCAGGTCAGACAGTTCTCACCGTTACTGTGTGTTTAAGGCTGTGTAATGAATATAGATAAGGCTCTGTGTTGGACGTGTGTTTAAGTTTGTTTTTTCATACATGCTAATATTATGAATATAATAAACAGAATGGGCGCAGCAGCGCTCTTCACAACAGCATGACTTGCTTAGCGTAGCTTTAGCTTTGTTCAGACAGAGCTGACAGATTTCTATCAAAGGTTACGTGTGGTATGAATAAAAATAAGTTCAAATTCACCTCTAAAGAATAATTCACAGGTTCCCAGCAAGAAGCTTTATTTCTAAATAAGCTGTTGAAACACGTTTTCTACCCCAATGCTGTGCAGGCATCCTCGATTGTTTGTTTTCTAGTTAGTTTTGAGCTGTAAGGACTGTTTGAGAACTTTCTCTGTTGGATAAATAAGGACATACAATGTATTTTGTTGCAACATGAACATACGATTCAGTTTTCAACATCCAGAAAATCCAGAATTGCGTTCAACAGTCGAGCCGAGCAAACAGAACATGTTTGACCATCACTCACAATCTGCTCTCATAGTCCCTCCATGCTCTGTCGAAAGGCTTCTTCAGATCCTGCAGAGAGAAACACAGAGACACGTCACACAATGTAAACGTCCAGCATCTGACAGCCATCATGAACTTCACTGAGAACAGTCAGCTGACAGACAGCGCCACCCTGAGGCCACGTGAAGCAAATATGATGTGACATGAACTGTGGTGAGACACCCGTCGACCCATCCATGCTGATCTGAGGTCTGTCCCTGTTGCAGTTCATATGAACCATGCAGGTGATAACTAAACAGTAGGTAAAGATAAAGTCCTCACCCCCTTCACCTCCCTCAGGTCTCCTTTAACCAGAGAGTCCAGGAAGAAGTTGATGTTGTGGAGCATGCTCTTTAACTGCACACACAAACACACACGCACACAAATAAACACACACAAAACTGATGTTTAAAATGTTGCACATCTGCTTGAAAAATACAATTAAATCAACTTCCACTGTAAAATGAAAATAATACATATCAGTGAGGGATAATACCCAACACAGCTCGGACCCAGTGAGTATTTAATTAGAAGTTTTTCCATTTCAAGTTTGGACTGGATCCGATAAGATCCAACTGGTTTTCAAGATGTTCGAGGTTTTTTCTGCCGGAGTTTGGAAAGGACCAGTTCAGTAATTAAAAGTTTTAAATTAGGGGGATTTCTCAGTGAAGTTTGAAAGGGACTAGGTGCGACCCAGGAGACACAACTGGAAGCAAAGGTTTTTCAATTAGAGGGTGTTTCAACTGAAGGTGAAATTAACCAGTTAAGAACCAACTGGTTTTCTGTGGCTGACAGGTTTTTAGTCAAAGAATATCTCTGGGAAGTTTGGGATGGATTAGTTCATCTTAATTAATTGGCTGTTTTTCAAATAGAAGTTTGGTATAACCAGTTTAGCACTTACAGTTTAAATCAGTTACTGGACAAGTTAAAACCTACATGGTTTTTAGTGAAAAGTTCCCCAAGTTGGTTAAAAGCTGAAGAAATGTAGAGTTCTCATCCAGCTTCTGACCACCTGCAGGCAGCGACTCCTACCAGGTACAGGTGTTGTCACCTTTGACCTCTGTGATGTTGTACTGCTGTCACCTACCAGGTTCTTCATTGGAGACACGAGCTCTTTAGAAAAGTCCGCCAGACGACAGAAGGCGGAGCCGACCTCCGTCTCTCCGTTTGAGTGACAGTTGACCGACAGCTTCTCCATCGAATTAATGTACTGCTCCAGGTGAGACACGTGGTCTGACGAAGAGACACTGTGTTAGTACAGGGATGTATGTGTGTGTGTGTGTGTGTGTGTGTGTGTGTGTGTGTGTGTGTGTGTGCCCATGCATGTGTGTGCTTGTGCATACCTTGTCCTGATGTGTATTTGGCTTTAGCAGCTTTCTTCATCTTCTGCAACACCAGTCGGTCACTGTCCAGAACCTTAACACACACACACACACACACACACACACACACACACACACACACACACACACACACACACACATTAAACACTTTCTCTGTCATGTTCTAATTATCCATCTGAATCTGCTGAATGTGTGTGTGTCTGTGTGTTCATGTAGGGGGGGTGGGGGTGGCAGCAATTCACCTGCTGACTCAACACACACACAGAGGACGAGCTTTGTTCTCTGACAACAGACAGCTACATTCCTGTGTGTGTAAACCTGTTTCCCATCAGTCTAAATCTCCACATGAAGCAGCAGAGACACAAGATGAAATAAAGGCATTAATTGTACAATTTCATCCCCAAAGACATAATTTCCTTGTTCTGCAAATTTAAACAGACATGCTCGTCTCTAAGAACGATGATGACAATCTAATCTATCAAGCTGACATGGATGACTGTGGATGTTTTAGACCAACATGAACACTTCACTATATGGTCATGTGGGTGTCAACAAGGTGTTTTATGTATAAAGGTTTTCTCATAAAAGCTCACTTTCCCAGTCTTCCTTGAATGTAGCATCATTATGAGTTAATCTGCAGGCTGCAGATTAACTCGTATCCTCATTAACAATCATCTTTCTGGCTCCTCCTCATTAACATTAGATAACAATAACAATGAATACTAATGAGGATTAACCTGTTGCTGTGGTAACATATGCCAACCCTGTTGGGGTTTAAAGGGGGGCGAGGGAGGTGGTTGTGTTAACAGGGATAATTTTTGAATGATGCTAGAACCCTTCAAGCATGATGCGGTAGTGAGAGAAGGCAGAGGAGGGTGGGCGGGTGGGTAAAATGTTTCGAGGTGTCTGGTTTTCAGGCGGGTCAAGGACCTTAAGGTCTTCAGGTCAATGACTCTGATGACCAGCAGTGTGTGTGTGTGTGTGTGTTGCTGGTTTGGTCATTATAAAACAATGTGCAGACATGCCACACACTTTCAGTCAAGTTATCTTTCTACTGTTTGTATATACATGTACATTTATTTATTTTTAAGCCATGCGAGTTGCTTGCCAAAGTTACTTACAGTCTACTATGCAAATAGCTGGTAAATATATTTTTTGATTATTTTAATACACAGTTACTCTGTCACCAGTTGGTTTCACACTCCTGAAAACCAGCTCTGATCATCCACAGTAAGCGATATCGCTGTGTGGGTGTACTGTGGGCGTGCAGGGCCTTTAAAACCGTTTATATTGACAACAGTTTTTATTAACTGTTGCAAATTAATATGATATCAAAATCACTTCTAGGAGACTGTGTTGAAGATGTTGGCAACAGAGCTGACTCCAACATGGAAAGAACTGTAAACAACACACAGAGGGGGGGGGGGGGGGGGGGGGGTTACATGGGGTCCACAGCAGCTCATTTGTGATGTGGGCCCCCCAAGCAGGTTAGTCCAGCCCTGATTATAAGCTAGAAGAGAAATAAGCACTTGACTGTCTGTTGGTTCTTCCCATTCATCTGCTGACATGAGTCAAAGCTGCTGAAACCTTCTGAATGAGTAACAGCACATCTTCCGTCCACTACTACTACTACTGCTACTACTACTACTACTACTACTACTACTACTACTACTACTACATCATCACCACCCCTGTCAGTACTGACCTCCTCCAGCAGGTAGACGGTGTTCCTGCAGCTGATCATCTTGGAAGTGAAGGAGGAGGTGGTGGGGGAGCTCCAGTCCTCCTGAACCTCCTGCACGAAGTCTGACACCGAAACACACTCCGGCATGATGCTCCTCAATCCGGGACACACCGGGACAGTCTGACAGAGTCCGGGACTGACAGACCAGTTCCACACAAAAGACTGAAGAAACCAGGCGAAACACAAAGCTGCTAATAATAATAATAATAAATATCAATAACAATAATTGTAATAATTTCAAAGTCCACAATTCAACGGTGAAATAACCCCATCGGCGCTGTTAACACACTACCACAGTCTCGTTAGGAGGAATGAGCATTAACAGGCTGATAAAAGCGATAATTAAAACCGGATCCGGTGACTCCTCGGTCAGTGTGACTTCACCGCAGCATCAGTCGCTTCTTTCTCCGAACAAAAGGTGATAAAGATCCTGCAGGAAAAAAAAACCTACCGGCGCCGATTCCACAGAAAAATCAGGGAAAAAATCCCCCCGAGTCATTCACGTATTCAAACCAACGAGTCTCTCTCCGGTGGAGCGTCTTCATTCAGAGAAATCCCACAAACCCGCCCGGGTCTCCCGTGTGTGAACCGGCTGACAAAGAGCGGTGACGCTGAGATGAGAACCGGACTCCCGCACAACGGGACCGGGTTCAGATGAGAGGATAAAACCGGCCTCTGCTCCCTGGTTCAGTATCGGCTTCATGTCTTTTGCACCATCAACTGATTTTTTCTGCTTTTCCTTCTTTATTCAAACCGCATGGAGAGGCGCGTTCACGGTGCACGGCGGCTGAGCCCACTGCCGCGGCGGCGCGCACTGCTGACTGAGCACAGAGGTACACTGGGTAGACTGGGAAACACAGCATCCCTCAAATAATTTAACATACTACACCAGCGTCTGTTAAATCAGTGTCAAACTGATTTTAAGTGAAAACTTAAACTAGGTTTCACCTCGATTTTTAACGTATTTTTTTCCAGGCAACATGTTTTAACTTTTTGTAAATTTCTTTTACAAAGAAAGAAAGAAAAAACAAGAAATGCTTTGGAACAGAAACTACCATAATCTGAAAATCAATATTATTTATTCATTTATTTTAATTATAGATACTAGTTTTTCAATGAAAGGAGAAATTAATTCAGTTTCTAATTTTTGATTCTATGCTTATGGCTCTATGAGGTTGCATTAGGATACAGTGGTGCTTTGAGCTAAATGCTAACATGCTGAAGTTCAGCAGGTGTAATGTTGACCATATGCACCATCTTTGTTAGCATGCTAACATTTGTGAAATTGAAATTAAACACAAAGTACAGCTGGCTGATTGTAATATAATTAACTTTTTGGGTATTTAATCATTCAACAAAGTATTGGACACACTGACATTTTTACCTTTTCATGGGGCTCGAAGAAAAGTTAAGGGACCATCAGACTTATCACAATTCATGAATTAACTTTTGTTTTGAATTTCTGTATACAATCCCTCCACTAGTTGTTTCACTCAAAACCATAAATGTCAACCTCATGGTGGCGGTCAAGGAAAAATCAGAGGATCCCCAACTGCAATAGGATTCATCACCTGTGAACCATTAACGTTTGTACAAAATTTAATGGTGATCCATTCAGCAGTTGTTGAGATATTTCAGTCTGGACCAAAGTGCTGGACCGACTGACAGACCGGCACTGTCATCCTGGAGTCAGACCGCTAACGTGGCACAAACTGAACTGTAAACTGGTCGTCAGACATCACTTCCCTTCAAGTCTCTGACACAACGATTCAAAACGTGTCTCAACATGATCCAACATCATCAGAGTCCCAGAGGAAACAATCAGAGCGAGCGTAAACAAACCATTCTGACTTCCTGTTGTTCAAACAGAACACGAGGACGAAGTGACAGTCAGTGCAAGTCCTGACTTTTATTCCACTCCCCTCATCTTTGTAAGTCAAACTGTGTTTTTCTCATGATCATATTCAAGTATCTCATTATGAAAAAACAAAAAGTAGTTTTTGTGATCCAGACAGAGTCAGCTCCACTTAACGAGGTTTATGTTTCTGCCTGATGAAGCTGATTGGTACGCTCCAGTCCACAGACAGATATCTCATCATCTACGGGACAGGTCATCATGAAATTTCTGCATCTCGTTCCTGCTCTCCAGAGGACGATCCCTTCAGATTTCAATGACCCCAGTGACTTTTCCCCCAGCCGCACCCTCAGGAAAAACTTTACATTTTTAGAACAGATAAACCATCAGGATGTTTGTTCATACGGTGGCTCTAATGAACACAGCAGCCTGTAGGCGATGCTAACAGTAATTTCAAACTCTACCCGAGGAGCATTTTGAAACCAAAGTATTAAATCTCTAGAAAACTTTTTGTGTTTGCTTTTTCAAATGTGCAGTTGTGCAAGTTTAAGGACATCCCACATGGATTTCACTAACAACCTAATCTAAATGGAAGTTCATCCATTGTATTTTGGTTAAATTCACCCAAAATACTGTAAAAATATATAATATTTATTTGTTATTAATTTGTAATTTGGGGAATGATGCACTTTAGTTCTTCAGTTTTTTTCTGTTTAAATAATGATTGAACTGCGTGTTTTGGGTTTGTCTGTTCACTCCTTGCAGACAGACCAACAGAATCACAGCCTCTGATTGATATTAATATTGATTTATATACTTAGAAATAGCGGCAACTTTCAGATCGATTATTCTAAAAATTGGCGTGAATGAGAATATCAACTTCAGTTAGGAGTCAGTACAAAATTAAACAAAAAATTAATATACTTATTTATTTCACTGACTTATTTGTTTTCAAAATAAAAAATTTTGACCATCTAATGTATCTAATCAACAAAATTAGACTTGTATACAATACAGTTATGTTTTAGTTTAGGAAAGGTGCTGATTTATCACATCACATATGTGCTGTAATTTTGTCCAGTGCTACTATACAATACAGTTTTACAGTTAAATTACATTATATATATATATATATTAAGCCTGAAGTAATAAGTGTCCAGTAATTTCCTCTGGTGACGGATGAATCCAACAGTAAAACAGATCCCTGATTATTCCTCCCATCACCCAGGTTGTGTTTACATCAACAAGGATGCTGGGTAATGTAGTGCAGTCCATGTTAAATATATTGAATCATGAGCTTTACTGATTGAGTTCTGCAGAAATCAGGCTGAGGAGTAAATATGACGTCAGTTATTCGTAAACTGCATCAGTTCAGGATCAGAAACCTGAGACAGTCCGGGACATCCAGCAGGAAGCGATGAAGACTCTGCGCAGGTTTCTTCATCCTTTGATGATGAGGGAAGATATCTGCTGCGGCAGCGTGTACAAAATGAGGGCGAGGAAGAGTGCGAGGATGGCGAGGATGACAAAAGCGATGATGTACTTCTTGAACTTCTTCCAGATGAGGAAGATGAAGGTCTTCATTGGGTTGATGAACCAGGTAAAGTTGGTGGTGGGACGACTGGAGGGATGACAGGACACTGTTTACACCTTTTTACACCTGGACATGGTTTTATGTTCGGTCACACCAACATTTAAAACTAATACATTTCACAGTGAAAGAAAACAGTGGAGAGATCTTTGAATGTCCCGTGTGAACAGAAGGAATAATTACAGCAAGAATAAACAGTTTCAGTGTCCATATGAACACCGGACTATTGTTTTAAGATGGACTTGAAAAGTTGTGAACCTGTCCTTTAACAGTGTGTGTGTGTGTGTGTGTGTGTGTGTGTGTGTGTGTGTCATACTTTGGTTTGTCCAGAGGCTCCGGCTCCTTGCGGGCCCGTCCCACAGGGTTGGCCTCCGCCTGCTCCAATGTCACCAGCTGAAGCTCAACCTCCACCTTCCCCTTCACACACACACACACGCACACACACACGCAGGCACGCACGCACGCACGCACGCACGCACACACACACACACACACACACACACACACACACACACACACACACACACACACACAGTTTCAGTGTCACTGAAGTAATTAAACTGGAGTTTAAATTAGAATTAATATTTACATTTAGATTAACTTTAGTCGTGACACTGAGGAGGGTGAAATTACCTGTACTTACTGTCTCACATGGTAAATTCAGTATAATGTACATTTCCACAGCACTAAGTCACATCATCCTCAACACTACTCAATAGTAATATTGCTCTTTTGTGACAGCTCTTAAGCTACTGTAACTTAAACTTGACATTTCCTGCGCAAATATTTCATATTAAAAGCCTACCAGGAAAGGGGGGATCATACAGTTTTAGCTGCTGGAAGTTTCTTTTACTTTAAAATATAACAAGGCCATCTATACTGTAAATCCAAAAGATATCTGCCTATTTTAAAATTCAAAATGGCTCCAATTTCCCCTTCTCATTCCATCCAGATTCAAACACAGAAACCATAAATTAGTAAAATATAAATTGCATATCTACGAACCAGAGTGCAGATACAGCGGTCGTGTAAATGACACATAAATCCTTTTATATTGTTAAAACAATGTGTAAAAGTCAGATTGAGGTCTCAGACCAATGTTGATTAAACATGTAGTTACTGTGTTTTATCAGCTTTAGAGTTCATTAGTGTTCTTTTTCTTTTACCATTAACAGGAACGTGTTGCCGCTGCTGTCAGTGTACTGGATGTCCTCCTGTCTCAACTTGCTCCTCTTGTCTTTGCTTTTCTTCTTCTTCTTCTTGCCTCCCTTCTTCTTGGCCGCCTCCTTCTCCTTCTCCTCCTTCTCGAAGTCCTCGGCCGTCTTCAGGCGGGTCAGCGGCCACCAGCCCTTCATCTTCTTGGCGCGAAAGATGGAGAATCGGGGGCCAGCCCGATCCTTCGCCATGTCAATTGTGCACTTACTGGACGACTTCGCTGCTCGCACCATGTCGCTGAGACGCAGCTCTATGGAGCCTGGGAGAGGAGGCACGAAGAAATGATGAGGAGGAGGAGAATGATAGTCTAAAGAGTATTGCTTGTGGTGAAGCTGTTATATCCCCTGAATCTTAAATAAAAAGGCTGCATGAGAACAACTCAGGTCACACATTAAACATTAAAGCATCTGTTAAATATTCAATTTA